ACCCGATAAGAGATCAGGTATCGTTGGATGAATAAACCTGACCATAAAAATAAAATGCTATCCTTCTTCGGTGATGAAAGCAAATTCATAGCCGATATCTCATCAGAAGATATTAGAAAATTGGAAGCAAAAGTAACCGCTCATTTAGTAAAGCTTCCTAATATGAATGCTCGTAGCAAAGAGGAATTTAATTCATTGAAACCTATGGGATCCGAATTTCCAAATTTATGTGGATTGCCTATGATTCATAAAGCTAATAATCTTTTACGCACTATATTGTATGTGTCATTCCTCCACACATAAACTGGCAAAATGGTTGGTATTTATTGACCTGAAATTAGTGTGGAGATCTACTGCACTGCACTGCACTGCACTCAGCATAAAGCATGAACAAGGTCCGGATCTTCGACACTAATCTCAGTCAAGTCAGCGCCTCTGTGTGATGTTTGAGAGGCTTGGCGCGTCACGAAAAGCACTTCCAGCAAACTACAGACATTCACCAGCATCTATCGCCTACGCTCACTGGATACTGAAGATCAGATATATGGCGTGGAAGAATAAGCAAGAAGGAACTGTGGCTGACCTGGCAACGAACCAACCAAGAACCCATCACCCAACAAATATGCAGAAGAAGGTGAAGATGGATTGGATTGGGCATATACTGAGAAAGAAGACAGCTTGGGAACATCATGCGCCAAACCCTCGAGTGTAACCTAAAGGGGAAACGACTACTTGGGCATCCGAGGGTGACATGGAGGCGATCGTGTGAGGAAGAAATGAAAGCTACCGGGCAGTCAAGGAGCCAGGTTAAAAGGACTGCACAGAAGAGAGTGAAATGGAGTCGTGTTACTGAAGCCCCATGTTGCACTAGGAACCCAAGGGACAAATAATAATAATTACGGGTATTTATACTTGAAATATGCCTATTTGGAATATTCATTATCCTCCTCTACATGAACCTTGCAAATCAAAAGAGTCTAAACAGCCATATTTATGTGTTTGTGAAACGAAATTCAGTTAGTGATTGCTGACAAACTCTCGCACCTGTAAGGTATCAGATGAAATTATTACCACTTAAGAAGTACCTCGTGATAGAGAATTATGAGTGAAACAAGCAAATAAAGGTAGTTATTTTCGAAAAGTTGATATTTAAATACAGCAACATCATGCTGTGGTGAAATGCGATTCAAGCGGTCTAACGGCAATATGCCGCTATGAGACCTACATCAGTCTGTTTCGATTTAACGTGGTCAATTGTGATATAATTCTAACTACTATTAGCATTACTGAAACGAAACAACTTTTTCGGGATCAATATCGATTGTTGCATGCCAACCACAGTTCGAAAGTTAGCTACTCCTGAATAGCCTGTGTTGTCAACATTATACAGTTTAAGGTATAGGCTAAAAAACGTCTTTTGAACAGCATACTTAAAGTTCTAAAAATATGAAGTAAGTAAAACCTGATACCTGATTGTATTCCTACTTAAAGTAGAACAAAAGCTTCTATTTTGTAACTCTACGCATACAGTAGTTCATGATAAAAAGTAAAGTATTACACTATCAAAATTTAAGAGCTCATCTGTGAAAGCAGCCTGTCTGCTTTTTAAAGCTACTGGACTTATTCTTATTTCTTTAGGAGCCAAAAAGCTGTTGTGAATTAACTGAGTTTTTTCACATTAACTGTTCTTATAAAGTCAGTAGCGAAAACAGATCTTATGAAATACAAGAAAAGGTGAAAAACTGGAAGATCTGGTCCGCATACATTGATGAAAACGGCTTTCATTTTAAGCTGATGCACCCATGTGTTTCACTTCATCAGTGTTCTTCGTAATTTGATGTGAACTTACTGTCTATTTTGTTAATACAATCCTGATTCAAATTACGAACAGATTTTTAATTTACTCACCTTTTCTTCCGTAGTAACTCATACCTTAAGCTTTTCAAAAAATAACTCATTTTTCACCAAATGTTGAAGAAATCGAAGGCAAACATTTGATGAATGATTATCATGTGATGAGCCTAATGAGTGGTTATGGAAATTTTAAAAAGATAACTATCCACATTCCTTTTAGGATACGTGAAATAAAGTAAGCAGTAAAACTGAGTTCTTAAATGTTGATCAGTTTCGCTTCGTAAACCAGCTTGGAAGCACAGATATGCCAAACACAGGGATAATCCTTCATTCATAAAACCGTGGTTAAAAAACTTCGATAAAGCCTCTCTATTTTTAACATTATTAGGAAGAATAAATATTTAGGGCTAAATCTGATTTATTAGGTTGAAAAGTAAATGAAAAAGTTCGGCCGCGGATTCCAGCCACGCCCCACCTACCAAGGTTTGTGCCGCCAGATAGCATCACTAGCCATTACACATTAGGTGGCTCATTGCCCACTGCGCGAACATGCACACAGTTGATGAGGGTATTTCAGTTCATTTCAAGCAATTAGACACTGACCTAGTAAACTTAGAGTGGCTTAGCTTATTATAATATGAAAGTAAAGTTCAGGTGACACTATCTCATTTCCTGCAGATGAAGTTGAAGTCTGAATTGAGATATGCGAAAAATAATTATCAAGTAGAGTTACGTGGTCATTCGGGTACAAGAAACCAATAGTTTATTTAGTTGCCACAAAAATAAACAGTGGCAAAATTGTAGGCATAAAAACCTGTCGTTATGACAATGAACATTCCGTTAAAAATGGATTGTTTTTTCCAAGATTCCCCAATAAAAAGACAAACATCACTCAAAAAATTATGACATAAATACTTTATCCAACCGCATATCAAGGGTGGCTGAGTAGATCCAGATACAGAGGTTGCCTTGAAAGGTTTATGTATTTTTCAAGATATTGACCAGATAAAGGAATCAAAACTAGGATATTTTATGCGTTTTCATCGCCTTCTGAAAGAAATATAGAACCTTCGTATCTTTACCATGTGCTAACAGCTGAGGCAAACATTCGTGAGACCTCATGCAACAGAAAAAAGGAGGACTGATAGATTTTTCAAGGAAGTTGTCACACTGTGTTCATCTCGATATCATCATGGAGCTACATGTTTTCTAAATCTACTATCTTACGTCAACAAACGTTATGGTGGTATCACAACAATCAATATCAGCACCCATATTCAATGCCTAACTCCCTCACCAACAGTAATCAGTTAATGGGACTTTGTGAACAATTCAATACTTGACAGAGTCAGTAAGTTTCCTCATCACTCTAAAATTTTAAAACACAAAGAACTCAAGTAAGCTTTATCAGAAAATAAGGAAACCGATTTCAGCCATATTACTGATCATAAACTTAAAAGTCAAGACTTGATCCACCACGAAAGACTATGAGCGTATTATTTTATCCCAAAATGTATCAGCTTATATTCAGCATTCAACACTGATAGTGCCAGCTTAGAAAACTTTTGGCTTTTTATATCTTGTTTCTTGTTCATGGGGCTCGGTCCGTGTTTTTTAGCCTGCTCCAGCAGTGCACAAGAAAATACCTTCCGCTTTCCTGCTTTTAGCTCTGGTGGAGTGAAACAAATGCTTTTGTGGGTTGGTAATCATCATTTGCAGTGGTTAGGGAGCTACGGGTTGTTGGGAAGATTAGTGGTCTGTCGCGAGTCCTGTCTGTGTAGGTGTCTGAATAAGAATAGCTAGATAGTTGGACAAAATATATAGGAATTGCCCAAAAGGTAAAAGTAGATAGTATGAGTCTAGTTGCTAGAGAACAGTTTGTCGATAATGTGAGTGTATCAGCAAGAGAGATGGCGAGTGTTAAATAAGTAGGAAGTACTGGTGGGCTAGTGAGATCAGTAATTCCTTGGGTACGTCTATGATAAGCCACGCAAATGGACGTAACTATCTCATCATCTTCTGAATAGGCCTACTGACGGAGCGGCGACTACACCCCATGGTAAGGGATTCCATAAAGCACATACTCTCAAAGAGATAACGTTAGACTGGAGCTTTGTGTTAGGTCTCTAGTCTACTATACTGATGATGTTTCCCCATGATGACCACCGTGTTGCAGGCAATGCTCGTTCTTTTGTGTGAATTGCCTGATGGGGGGTCTTTTAGTCTATAATAAAGCCACCAATCTTTTTGAGACAGCCCAAGGTGAATAGGTTTAGGTGTTCCAGTTTTTTAGAGTATTTCTTCCTCCTTACTCTCACAACTGATTTTATCGCAAATCTTATTATTTTCTCAAGTAAACTGGAGTCTCTCTTGAGTGTTTGCGGTACTATCGTACTACAAACATGTAGGTGCCGCCCACGTTGGATTTGAAAACTGAGAAATAGTGCATGGCTGAGTATCAGACTATCTACGTAGAAAGTGCAAAGTGGCATTCGTTCTGGCTGCTATTTCCTTGCAGTTGTAGCTGGTGTTCAGAAAGTCTGAGAAGTCGACTCTTGAGTGCTTTTTGGGATACTTTATTAACAGTAGGGTTTCTCAATTTGCATTGTAATTCTGCCGTTCTTGCTTACTGCATACTGATGCTCATTACTTCACACTTTTCCAAGCCAGGGCTCAATTCGTTTCCCAGAGACCAGAGCTCAAGTTTCTCTAGGTTATTTTGAACTGCAGTATAGTCAGCCTCTTCTTTATGAACGTCCAAAAGTTGATGTCAAACATGAAGACGTGGGTGTGTGGCAGAAGTCGGCAGTGAACAAACTAGCCCTATCGAGTTTGATAAAATTTAAAAGCGGATACTTTCAAGGTGCTCTTAGAATCTGATAATTTCGTGTATTCTGCAATACATTGACAACCTACATCAGTAAAAAAATAAACGAAACTAAGTAAATTTGCGACATTTAAATGCCGTTCGACTTCCTAACATAATTAAACCAAGTAAAAAAGTGTTATTTGTACAGCTGTAACGCTTGAGATGATTAATAGGACAAATAAGAGTATCTGGAAAGAAATGCAGGATAATTATTCTACTTTTTTGGTCATATTAAGATGAAAATTTGTAACAAAACACACATATGGTAAAAACATACTTGTTATTTCTTTGCTTACGTCTTACGAATGGAAAACAAGATGACATGCCCGTGCATGCCTCAAAAGGCAAGCAATGACACTTTAAATATCTCAAACCTTAGCATCAATTTTTTACAAAAGCGTGCTAATTTCTTATTTACTGAACGATACATAACACCATGCATTAAAACAAGCCAATAGACCTCTTGCTATGATTTAATTGTTGGGTTTTTCATTATTTTACTGACAAAACATCACACCAATTAATTTTTGAGTCACTTCATTGTGTAGCCTATAAACGGGATTCTACGGTTAGAATTTTTGAACTGAACAGTCAGGTCTCGGTGTGATGTCTGATCTCATCATATGGGTCTTAGTAACTACATTATGAACTGACCCCCCCCCCCATACTATATTTCGGCTGCACTATATACATTTCAGCGATTCAAACTACTCGCAAAGCTTCATTATGTCACGGAAACCTCCACATCAATTCGACTACATTTTAAGGAAATACAATGGGAGCACGTGATAAGGCCAAAGGTGAGACAGGGGTTTGACCAAATGATACACGGGGTAAATCCCTACATTTTGTCCCATTTTGCTGACAGCCTCGTGGTGATGTTTACTCAGTGCTAGGATCCCCGCAAGAAAAAATCTGCCAATAAAGCCAGGAGTCGCCTTCAAGTAAGTTTGCATGTGGGTATAACAGTGAGTTCCGGCTTGACCTCTACGGTGTTCTGCAGATTTCAGCAAAACTGAGTAAGACCAAAAGCATTGGTACGTTTTCGTGGCCAGTACTATTTACTCATGACTGAGTCCATCTAGCCAGGTGAAAAGACACTCGGTGGAGCTTTTATATTCCTAGCTGGAAGAAACGGATAGCGATGATTATACGCCATGCATGTCCCTCACCAACAACCTACCTTTGGTTATCACGAACATTGGATACGCAGCCAGACATTAGCCTATGTGGCTTCTACCGAATTCAACCCGATAATGGGTCCCGGTAGACCATTTGGCTATTTCTTATAGATGGAAAGAGTTGGCATAAGGTTGTTGCTTCCTCTAGAGTATGTGCTTGGAAGAGAAACCGTGTGTTAGTTCAGGCACATTTGTTTGGATCTTAAACTACATAGAAAAGCTACAGCTTCAAGGCCACTTAGCTAGAAAATCACCTGTTATACGTGGCATCGTCTTCACTTTACTGTAAGCCTATCAACGACTAAAACCAAACATAAGAAATCAAGTGGAAATACCTCGGAAAACCCGGTAAGCGCCTCCGAGTAAATAGGCGTGCACAACTGCATTCTTGTAAGTGGCGTGAGCAACCTAAATGTGGGCTTATCAAGTGTCTATGCAGTGAGTATGGGATGCGGTACCCACTGAAGCCTAAACAGATCAAGTAGGCTGTGATGATGTCCATTTTGACTTATAAAAAGATGCGATAAAATGATTATTGGCTTATGAGTTCATACCAGAAGGAATTTGATTGAACGCGTGGCACACTTCGATGAGCAGTTAATCCTTAGCTAACCATCATCCCGTTAAATCTGAAGTGGAACATTGAGACTGAACCTCCACACCAGTGGGACTTAAGAGGGTTACAAATTATGGAAATCTTAGGAGAAAAGCCTGTCTCACTGGAGTGCTATGGGGCCTTTGTGTGTCAACCCATGTCCATGGATGACATACACACTATACATTCACAATAAACTTCGTCAGAAACCCACCTATAGATGCTTCCACTATTACATTTCGATTCTTAGGGGGAAAGTTTTCAGTTGACCTACAGTAAGCAGAAGATACCTAATTTTTAACAGATGCTGAGGGAATGTAGAATCTTTCTAGCAACATAGAAATTTTGGATGCGTTTCTCATCAGTCAGACATAAACCGTTGTTCTGAGGCTGACTTGGCAACCAAGAGTGGTGTGGCTAAATCTACTGTCCACTTGGCCTCCTTGAAAGGTTGTATAAATCCTGTTGCGCCTACGGGTGACAAAGCCTTGGCGTCGACGCAACCGGTCCATGGTCTACAACTACCTGCAGTCTAATGATGGGGTGTGATGCACTGGGAGATGTCAATCAATTCACTCACTTGGGGAGTTTCATTAGCCCAAGCGCGGTGGTTGCTGACAAAATCTCAGCTTGGAAATAGAGGTTCCGCATGGCACTTACCAGCTTACGTCATCTGTGGCGCCAACTGGTGAGATGTCTGGCTATCTATCAAAGGACTAGTATACCGCGCTGCTGTCTACCTTGTCCTATTGTACAGTTGTGGGGCTTGGCTATTACGATGTGGTCGCAACGTTTTACTCCAAAAATTTAAGTGTTTTGAACGGGCACACACACACTTCATCCTCAACAACAGGATAATGTGGTTTCAAGTTCCTTCAGCGTTGTCAGTTTTGGAGCTGGTGGTCAGTTGTATAGACACAAAATAGTGTCTTCTGGTAATTGCATTTCTTGGTGATGACGACAAACTGTTAGAAAACAGAGGTGTGTCTCGATATGGAGGGTATGGTGATATAATTAACGGTGGTAATTTGTCAGCACTGTAGGGAAGAGAAAAGCGGGCAAGCGCAAGGCAGAGTTGGGTGATGGTTAGTATTTGTACCTCAGCATGAGGATGTCCGAAGCGAGTTGCCTTCGTATCAGTGTTAGCTACTTATTAGTTTTGAAGGTTCATATCTATGATGAAATAATGTGAAAAGGAATCGATGGAGGGACAGCCACATGCAGGTAGTTATTGTACTTATGAAGCACCCTAATATTTTCCAGACGCTTGAAATGAAGCTACTCCATGAACGGTTAGTTATCATGACTTTCTTTCGCGTCGGATAACCTGCATGAGCTTGGACATAAAAAGAAGAGAAAGCTGCGGTGATTTAAGGGAAACTAGGAGTAATGAAGAATGTCTCGTAACACTTATTAGATAAAAAGGTCGTTTTACAACCAAATGCTCGGATTTTGAGGTGTCCATGAATATAACAACGGCTACGAGGTGTCTGGTGTCAATCGTAAAGGTTGCCCTCCTTTCCCAGCTTTTCAAAGGTCTAAAAGCCTTATTCACAACTTGCTTGCATTCTCGTGATAGTGGTTTCCGTGTGTCATCAGTATCAGACCCACTGCCTCTTTACTTTCGTTTTGTTGGGCCGTCTCGGTGTCATGCTTTATCTTACGGTCTGCCACCAATATACATCTACTAAGTGCTTTCAATTTAAGGCCAAGGCTTTTCGCTATAACTTCATTTCGTGGCTACTCGCAATGCAAATCTGGCCACAATGATTTCGTGCAAGCACCAAAACTAAATTACCGCCCATCGCTCATTCATAATATTCTGTTACGGCAAAATCAATGGGTGGAGCGTAACGAAGAAACGGATCTCCAGAGTTCTCATACCTAAGGAGAAAATCCACCAAATCCAAAATACTCAGTCGTCAAGCAACTAACGTATATTCAGCTGCCGATTAACCACGTGAAAAGTTGTTTCAACAGCGATTTATATGCAAAAAATTTAGTTAAAAATCTTCAATTTATGCGTTTGTTTTTGTTTCTGGCTGGAGGGAGATACGTTGGTGACACTAGTCAAAGCAAAAGCTTCCATCTGGCTACGCAAGCAAATTGAATGAAGTCAAACAAAATAAGTGGCCAGTGGTTTCGAACATATTGCAAGACTAAAATCAGAACACATGCAACAATATTCCTCTGTGCGGATTTTCGAGGTTCTGATGAGAAACCGTGACATGTGGGGTCGCTCATTTTAGGTATAAAGACAAATGCTCACCGATGGTACTAGATGGTGGCCACGCTAAGTGGTGACTTGGCAAAACAAAAGAAAGTTAAACTTCGGGTTCTGACCATGTGGCTCAGTTGCAACGTGCTTGCCACGAAGTCTGATGGTTCAGTGTTCAGTCCTTAGTTAGGTTAAGGTTGTACACCGCCGGGACTAGACAGCTATTCAGTGGTTCCGAACTCTCAGTGGTCTGCCAGCCGGTAGTAATCCACCTTGAACACTACCTCGAAATCAGCCAATCTGGGAAACCCCAACACTGATTTCCTGGAGTTTTCACATTATGAAGTGAGGATTAGTAATGGGCTGCAAAGCAACGAATATCGAAAATAAAGTGTAGATGGAGTAATGTGAGCGTCCGGAGGGTAAGGACAGTTAATGAGCATGTGGTGGTAGGCAGACGTTTCATTTATGCTCCTTCAGAATGGGGCAAGCGCTGGACCAAGGATTTAACTCAGTAGTAAATAAATGGCAGCCATACGGTTCATTATTACAAAGCACAATGGTGTGATAACAGGTTAGCTGAACAGGGAACTTGTATGAACTGAAGTAGTTAGTTTTTCATGCCAAATATATGCGAGGTAATATTTTCCTATTGTGGCTATCTACCTGCTGACCATAGTAGTACTTCAGTGGCTAAGGATTCCATGTTTGCCCACGTTGTGCGGATAATAAATCACAGAGAACGTAACTATGATACCAAGTGCGCTCAGGATAGGATAGGAGAAGCTTACCAGCCAGAAAGTAATTTTCTTCACCAGGAATCGGAATAAAATGTTAGATTTTGTTTGTGAGGTCAGGCCGGAAATGCTCCATGTTGAACGATGACATGAGGGGACTTGTACGGTATTTTTGAGGCTTGAAAGCAAAGTTTTGGTTATAGTTTCCCTCTGAAAACCTGTCATTATTAGTAAATCTATTGGCGAGATGTTCTTCAAAGCGTAACAGCAATGGTGAAATAAGGGGTGCATACATGATTCATACGGAATAATCCTTGTGCCTTGGCTGCTATATTTTCAAAATGAGGATCCAGCCAACTTCTAAAATTCGGAAGCCTGAGATTTTATGTGGTCGGCAAAGCTTTAATATGGCAGGGTGTGTTACCAAGGATGTGACTATTTATGACAAGATTTGAACTTTTCTACCTAGTCTTATTGGACGCCTTACCTTTGAGGCATTAGAATACTCCTAAGCTGACGTTAGCATTCCGAACCTTGAATAATTGAAGATTTCTTCGAATTCATCAAGTCCTTCATGATTTCTTTAAATAGAAAGATGGTAGATATTACTTAGACATTTGGTTCATCTGAAACCACTACTGCTTATGACGTCGGGGAGAGAAAGAGAAGCAATTTTTCACCGAGAAGTTCGATAACGTTTGAGTT